AGAGCTATAATTATTCACAATGCCTTTGTTAGATGGAGAGTTCGTCCCGTTGACCGCGGCTACGTTCGGCGACTAATTGTCGCCTTGAGCCCAAGCTCATTGTCACAAGTCTCAAACAAATACAATTGAGTAGAATGACGGCAAATCGTTTAATTACAACTGTAGATTTTAATTACAATGTTTTTATGGATTTTCTCGAGGTTTCAGAGGGAAGGCACCGGTGCCCTCTTATCTCCGACATGTATAATTAACAATATTTCAAACAAAATATAAGAAATAGAACAAATTGAAATACAATATATAAAACTACTTACATTCTTGAGCTCCTGCAGAGGCTTTGTCCTCTTGATGCACTGACTCTAGTTACCGAAAAAGAATGTTCAAAAGAATATAAAATAAGACCACATTACCACGACCGCAAAAATTATAACCGTCGAACAAGAGCTCTAATGTCGCATACAAAATTGTTTGATAAAATTGTATTGCTTTCGCGTGTGATTATTTAATTGGATTTAATCAAAACGACCGTGATTTGAAAATATTGAAAAATACTTTTGCGGAGCAAACACTGACTCTACAAACCGCATTGCACACGGTCACAAATATTCCCTAAAAATAGAGTTGTTTATGGGTGGGGTGGGATGGGGAGTAGAAAAGAAGTGGGATGGGTAGTAGAAAAGAAGCGAAATATTATTTCGATAATTTTCTTGTTTTCTCTATCGAACGTTTATTTCGGAAAATAGTGCTACATTTCTTTTGCGTATGAAAAATATTAATTTAAAATTACAAGATATTTCTCGATATCGAACAAATGTTTGCGAATACCGTGAATGCAATGTGAGCATTTGCAAGAATTATACTATGAAAGTTCGTTACTAGAATATCGGATATACACTCCACTAATACACTAGAATCCCGTGTTATAAACGGTTCAAAATATTTGCAAGATTTCGAAAGTTCAGAACTAAATATACTTAAATAATACTACAGAAACGGATGCGAAATCTTGTTTTCAAGTACTTGAGTTTACTTGCGCGTCATATGTATCAAAAAAAATATATGTTACAAAGTTAAAAAATATACTAATGAATAATGCGAAGAACACACTAATGAAAGTAATAAAGAGCCGACTCCACCAATAGGTTATAATACGTTACGAACCTGACGCGACGCTATCCATGTTATCGGTACGAAATGAGACGACTAAATGACTCCTTGTACCTTAGTTTCGCAGAGCAACTTCCATAGTCGCGAGGGAAGGGGGGGCACACAAGCCGGTGGCACAAGTAGCTACGCAGTTAACGATTACACGTTACTAGACAAAGAAATGTATACATAAACAAAAACATTCCTATTCTACGGAGCACTTCCTTTCAAATTACGCAGCAGGAATCTTTCGAATTGCGCAGCACAATTCTTTCTCTACGCCGATATTTACAAACATCGTACAATAATTAGTAGCCCTACTGGCAGCATTCAGTATCACAGACACGTTTGTCGAACTTGGAATGAGAGAAAGAAATCCACCTGGTAAACTCGCGGACGAGATAATCGCAGTATATGTCTCTGAATACCACAGTCTTCTCTGCGACTTGTACGAGATAAACTGCTGGCTATGTATCGTTTGCATTGACGATCACTGTGCGTCTCGTTGCTTAGACTAACCTCCTTTCGTTTGCGTAAGAAGATTTTCTCTTGTGCAGTATTATTTTGACCGATTTTCAATTGTCTATATAATTAAAAAGGAAAGACAAAGACGCAATTTTTTTATGCTTGATTTTTGTCTTATTTCGGCTTTACGAGTCATCCCTTAAATTTCCTGACACCTGCATAATAGGAACCCTACGTGATTACTTATCCTTTTTTTTTATATATATGTCGGGTTTACATTAGAATTAGGATTAGGGGCGTGAAACGAATC